GCAGGAATGATGAACTTATGTCTTTTCCTAGAAACTCTTTGGCTATGAGATGGCAGAGTTTAAAGTCACCATCAAATTTCTGTGGAATTCTGAGACTGGAGACTTCCAGAAGCTTGTGGGAGACACGGTGGAGAAGGAGGAGGAGGAAGAAGAAGAGGAGGAAGAGGAGGAGGACAATGACAGCAATGAGGACTAGCAGCAGTCGTTGAGCTTGGACATCACAGTCCTATTTCAGAGACAAAAAGAGGAGCATGTCTCCCTGCCCTGTTTGCACCAGGAGGACAATGATGATCAGCTCTTTGTAAAAGATGACCTAATTATGCTTTTTTTTATATATATATAAATCTGTGTATAAAACTTCAGATGGTGGTTGTTGCTGCATGTTACTGTTTAGAGTGCTTGGGAATCTGAGGAAATGCCACCTCAGACATGAAAGCCAGGCAGAAAGCACCTAAATGTAACAGTTTAGACAGGGGGGAAGATGCTGAGGGCTTGGTCTCTGAGAAAACCTTCAGAGGTTGTTTGGCTCCACGCCACTGAGCACTGACAAAGGTGACACCAACCAGGTCATCGGTACAGCTGAGAGGGTCTGTGTTAGAAAAAAAGGTTTATTCTTGTCTCTAATTATTTAAGATCACACTAAAGCAGGACTGGGGCCTTCCCCCAGTCCTACGTGTCCATCTTCCCCCATCAATTGTAGTGTTAAAGTGTAGTGTGGAGCTGCAGATCCACGAGGGGAGAAGGAACAAGGCACGAGACGACGAGCGCCGAGAGCGGATCCTGGAAAGCTTCATTGGCAGGGAAAAAATCTCACCTTGTTTGCACTTCCATCCAAGGGGCAGGGGGGCAGGTACCCCTCCCGTGCCTTGGGAGACCTGTGCTTGGTCACCCACCCCCTGATGCCCTTCTCCTGGCCCAGGCCCTAACGGAAGTAGCTGGGGCAGTCGTGGGCGGTCAGGCTCCAGGCGCGGTCCAGCGCCTCCACGACGGGGGGCAGCAGGGGACCCTCGGTGCTGTACTCCAGGTTCTGCTCCAGCTGCTCCAGGCTGGACATCCCAACGATCACTGCATCCCCCAGAGAACCCTGGGAAGCAGCAAGAGGAGCTGCTGAGCCCAAGAGAAAAGTTTTTCAAAACAACCCGAGGCACCCCAAGCGTTAAATGTTTCTTTGTGGTACAGAACAGGGGGGAGCTCTGGGGGGTCTGGACAACTGACTCCACAAAGTTCTATTCACAACGTCTCAGAGTCATGCCAGCTCCTCCAAAGCTGCCACATCCTGCTCCATGAGGGGCTGTGGGAACTTTTTGGGGTGATGGGGGATATAGAATCATAGAATGGGCTGGAAGG